GTCTCAAACAAAAAGTGAACGTTTTTGTTTTGTCTAAAAATTGAAATTGAGGAGGGTCAAAGAAAAAAAATACCTCAATGTAAAAATAAATGGGCAGACCGTAAAATTATTACTCGATTCAGGAAGTGATATCTCGGTAATAAACGAGCAAACATGGAAAAAAAAATCGGTTACCCACCTGTTGACTAACACAGACAAAATTGCCAGGGGAGTGTCAGGAAATGAAATTGAAAAAGTTCTTTTCCATGGACTTAAGTTTAGAGGTGAATTAAAATGTAACATTGCGTTCATGGGAAAAATTCACAAATCGAAAGTGTATGTGCTCCCTGGTTCAGTAAACCTCTTTGGTTTAGACTAGATCATATTGTTTAATTTATGCGATTTGCCGGTGAATTTTTTCTGTAACAAAGTTAACGTCATAGAGAACTATAAGACGAAGCAAACAGGAAGATTTATTACGGATTTGAAAGGCAAGAAGGACTAGGTCTGTGCACAAAAACAGAAGTCAACTTTGAATTGAAAGAAAATGTTAAACCAAAGCTAAAAGTACCATTTTCGGCACTAGACACAATGAATGAGGAATTAGAAAGGTTGGAGAAAATTGGCGTAATTTCAAAAGTCGATCACTCGGATTGGGCGTCTCCAACCGTATATATAAAAAAGAAAAACCAAAAAATCAGAGTGTGTTTCGACTTTTCGACAGGCTTAAATGATTGTGTGAAAGACTATGCATACCCTCTACCGTCTCCAGAGGATATATTCACTAAATTAAACGGAGGTAGAGTGTTTTCAAAGTTGGACTTGTCGGAGGCTTACCTTCAGGTTAAAGTCAGTGAAGAATGTTCAAAGTACCTGACAATAAACACGCATAAAGGGATTTTTAAACTAAATCGTCTTCCTTTTGGATTGAAGGTAGCTCCAAGCCTATTCCAGCAAATAATGGACACAATGTTGGCTGGTATGGAGTATGCAATCGCATATTTAGATGATATTTTGATTAAAAGTGAAAATGAGGCCCAACACAAAACACATATTAGAGCGGTATTTCAGAGAATTGAGGAATACGGGTTCAAGCTGAGTGCTGAAAAATGTGAGTTCTTCTTAAAGAAGATAAAATATTTAGGGCAGATCATTGACAGTAAAGGAAGAAAACCGGATCCAGAAAGGGCTGAGGCTATAAAAAATATGCCAGCACCTGATAATGTGGCTAAACTCCAGGCCTTCTTGGGATTAGTAAGTTACTATAGCATTTATATCCCAAAAATGTATGATATGAGAGCTCCTTTAAATAATTTGGTAAAAAAAGGCACAAAGTGGATATGGTCAAAAGAATGCGAACAGGCTTTTAAAAAAATAAAAAGCAGACCTATCGTTAGTGCATTCCGACCCGAAGAAGAAAATCATTGTAGCAGCAGATGCCAGTAATGATGGAGTAGGTGCGGTATTGGTTCATAAATTCGAGGACAGATCTACGAAGCCAATAGCACATGCCTCGAGAACGTTACTGCCCGTGGAACGAAGTTACAGTCAAATCGAAAAAAGAGAGTTTAGGAAGAGAATTTATTCAATAATCTACGCTTTCACAGGTTTCTATACGGAAGAGAATTTATTCTGCAAACAGACCACAAACCGCTGTTAACAATATTTGGTTCAAAGAAAGGTATAACAACTCACACAGCAAATCGACTACAGCATTGGGGTGTAATTCTATTGAATTATAATTTCAAAATAGAATATGTCCCTTCAAAGAAGCCAGGTTATGCCGATGGGTTATCAAGATACGGAACCACTGGAAGAAACAGTAATAGTGGCGCTAAGAGACGAAAGTGAATTGTCGGGTCTGTTATGCAACACTATTAGAGGACTACTGGTTACGGTAGAAGATGTGAAAAAAAAGCAATGAACGATGATTTCATTAAAAAAAATGAAAAAGCAAGTCTGGTTGAACGAGACAACTAAAAAAGGAAATAGTGTGTCACCTTTTTCAATCTGCGAACAGGTATTACTATATGCAGATAGAGTTGTAATGCCGGTTACTCTGCAAAAGAAAATTCTGAAAGAATTTCACACTGGCCATCCAGGGATTTTGAGAATGAAATCTCTAATGAGAGGCTATACTTATTGGCCGAGGATGGACCAAGACATAGAAAATTTGGTGAAACAGTGCAGAGGATGTCAACTGGCAGCAAGGGATCCACTGGTAAAGATTCAACCATGGCCAAAGACAGATGTCCCATGGACTCGATTGCATATCGACTATGCAGGGCCCATAAATGGATCTTATTACCTGATCATTGTGGACAGTTTCACTAAGTGGCCAGAAATTGTTAAGTGCAGACATCCGACTGCAACAAATACAATAAACGCACTTAATGAAATTTTTAGTCACTTTGGACTCCCTAAAACTTTAGTCAGCGACAACGGAACGCAGTTTACGGGAAGAGAATTCAAGGAATTCTGTAGATCATTGTCCATTGATCACGTGACAATGCCAGTATATCATCCAAGATCGAATGGACAGGCGGAAAAATTTGTGGACACCTTTAATTGAGTGTTAAAGAAAAACCAAGGCGTGGACACGAATGATGTAAAGAAGTATTCAGAAATTTTTGGCAGTATATAGAATCACGCCAAACCCCTAATACGACGTCAGGGTTATCGCCAGCAGAGTTAATGTTTGCGAGAAAAAAATAATGTTCTGTGTTCGACAGGCTGTTTGCCTAGTCCAGTAAACGCGAAGAAAACTGCTAAAAAAAAAACAGATGACTAAAGCGTATAAGCCAGGTGACAAAAAAAATTTTTTTTCAAGAACTTTAGGGCTGGAAAAAAAATGTATTGGGAAGAAGGAATGATAAACAAAAAAGAATTGGACAGGTCATATATGACAATAAAAGGGAAAAATTTTTGGATTTAAGTGCAAAAATACATTGGAATCAATTGAGACCCAGACACACTACAGAGGTCACGGAAAATACCAAGAGATTCCAATGGAAGTCCTGTATGATGCATTTTTAAAATTCCTTCCAGTAAGTCAACATTCGCCAAATGGAGGTATCCCCGACCTCAAGGCCAGAGGTACCAGTGTGTCAAACGCCACCACTGCAAGGAGGATTGAGGAAAAAAGACTTAGGAAAAAAAATCAATCGATTAAGTCCAGACCCTAAAAAATTAAAAAGAAGGAACAAAGTGATTGAAACCAACTATATTTTCAAAAGAGGAGAAAATGAATATGCATACACCTGTTTTAATGAGTAATATGATTGGCTGGGCAAGATAAATAACACAAACACAAATTTAAAATGGAATTAAAAAAATTGCAAAACAATATCACAAACAGGTTTTATGAGGAATCTAATCAAATATTCTATCCCAGTATGCATTTTGTGTAGACACAATGTAGGAAGGAAAAACTAATTGAAATTCAACTTCAATATTCCTATAATATTTGTTTCTTTAGTATATATATAATAAATGAAATAAAAGAAATAATAGTTACAAATTAAATTATCTTACTTTTAAGCAATTTTTACAATTTTTTTCATTTAAACTTAAAAACTGTTAATTTTTTTGATCTTTGAAAAAGCACATAATCTCTTTGTTGAATTCAGAACAATTCTATAGACATTAATGAAGTATTAAACCCAGTGTAAACATCATTACACCTTAGGGGAAAAAATAGAAAAATGGTAGTCATGAATGCTCTCAAGATTCTTTTAAACAAATATTTATTTATTTATTCACAAATGTTCTCTTTTTATTTAACTTCTATTGATCAGAGGCGAAAGATCAAAATAGAATAAAAAGAATATTTGTGAATAAATAAAAAGTCACTTTTCTTGTTTTATTGCTCTTAGCCCTATACAACTTCAATTTAATAGGTATTATCTTCAACCATGTCTAAAAAAATGTGTACCTAATATTTTTTTTAATCTTATAAGGTTTTTTTTTTAACTCTTGCAAGTAATATAATCTTTTATTATTATTTTTTTTTAATTTTATTTATTTATTTTAGGGATCACAGACAAAATGTGACATAGCAAATTAGTTTAAAATTAAGCTAAACAATTCAGAGCAAAGGCAAAGGAACACACAGACAGATCTTAAATCTGTATAGTCCACTCATTTATACCAAAGATTTTATATGACAATTGAACCACTTTCAGCTAATCCATTCTCCAACCCTCATTAGGTGTAATCCATACACCAGTTAGTATATTAATGCCTATTTAGATTTTTTCTTGAAGAAAAAAGTTACTTTTGATCTCGCAAATTACACCTGACAAGGACTGAATAATGGATCATACAAACATTGTATTAACAAGAGTAAGTACATGAAGAATGGGTTCAATTGTCTAAAATTATTTGCTATCTTAATGACTCTTTTCAAAGTTATAGACGATAGTTAACTGATTTATTCAAAGAAAATCTTTTATGCCAGTACCTTCACATTTCATTGACATCATATAAAAATATAAAATTTTTCTTCTGAATATTTATTTTGATTTCATATATTTCAAATACTGTACATACTTTAATTGTAACAATGTTGCTTTAGAAATTTCTCAGTATGGTTATAATACAAAATTAGCAAATCTTTCTGCTGTAATTCTTTTGGTTATGAATTTTGGCCAAAATTTGAATTTAATTTGTATAAATGACAATAATTGCTTATATTGCTATTTATTTTACGAGCAATCTTATATGCTGCTAAAATATCAGTCAAGAATTTTTTTTTGTTACCAGTTTTTCTTTATGCCTTAAGGAATCTCTTCACACTCAATATATTTTGTTGAGTATTTTGATATTTCTCAATTAAAAAAACATCCACCATTAACAGATGAATCTAGTTCCTTTATCATTGCGTCTTGATTAAAAATAAAAACATATTACATTAAAATTTCTGTTAAAAAAGGACTATGAAGATTTTATACTTAAACAGATTTGCAAAATGCATCTTTTTAAAAATGCCTTTCATTGAATTTGTTCTGTTATTTTTGCAGGAGCATCCAGATATTGTCTCTCTGGATTGGATTATGCAAGAAATTATTAAGCAACTAGATAAAAGACCAAAGGGCTTTTATTTAGTTGATATTCTTCCAAACCTAAAAGTTTTGCTGAAATTAGAAGGAATGATGAAAAATGCTTCAGAGGAACTGAGTATGCTAGAATCAAAGGTAAAAATAAAAAAAATATAAATGAATTATGTTTTTGACTAGAATGTTGTTTGCTTAACCTAGCATTGCCATTATTATTGTTTTTGCTTATTGATAATCATAAAATATAGGGGAAAAAACTACAGTTTTCAGTAACTGATGACACAGTAAAATGTTGGATTTAAGGATTTTTATCTGCAATGAATGGTTTCAACAAGAATCCATCTTTCTTCACAGGTTTGTAAAGGCAATAAAAAGGCAAAATTCCATTTGTTATTTTCATCTTCACTCATTTCTCAAATCAAGTTGTTGAAAGAACATTTGATCAAAATATTTGAATGTAATAAATTCATGTTTCTTATGGTTGTTAATTATATAGCAATATATCTGCAATAATATGTGTGCATATTAATAACCAACACTTGTTCTTATTTGTAATAATATATTATTTTTGTGATGTTGTTGTGGAGTGATTTCACAGTGGAAACAAAATTTAAATTAAGTCAATTAAAATAGGTTCGAAATACAAAACATTATCACTTGATATAATAGGTAACCAATGCAGAATAATCTAGTTGTGGTCGCTGATAACAAAAATATTCGAAACTGTCGTCCAAAATCGACTGACTGAGCACCGATTGAATGACGATAAAATCAGTCAACCACCCACCCCACCCCACTGGGGCATCATGTGATACAAGGTTAATTATTTAATGTTTTTATCCAAGCCCGTGATAATCAGCCCCAAAAAGGCCCATTGAACCCGTAAACAAACGGGTTTTAATAAAAACGGTTTACCTCCCCAAACAAACCTTCAGCGTAGCCTTGTTTATTAGTTCCTTTTAATGAAGGCAGAGAGTTCAACCAATAGTCATTCTTTCAATGAAAGCATACTTCACTGATTGACTGACTAAATAAATATTTTACTCCTACTTATTATAGGTGGGAGAGTCTATTAACTATAGAATAGGTTTGTTCCACTATAACAGATGTATTTATCAAGAAAGATAATCAATTATCAGTGTTCATTTTATGAGGCTAATTTAAATAATTTGCATATTTCACTGTTTGATAACAATAAAAAATCTTAGTTTAATTAATTTGGGGAAATTATTTCATTATTTTTTTTTTTTTTTTGACAAAGCCACCAAAACTTGAGTACAGTTTAGTTTTTAATGTGCCTTGTAACCTTACTAGTGATAAATTCTTTTAATTGCAATATTATTAATTATAACATTCTCATAATCAAATTGCTCATACATGTTTGTAATTGCTTACTGTAATGAGCTTTTGATATGATTTGATTATGAGAATGATAATATTGATTGCTTTTCAAGAACAGAAAGTGTTTTGTTTTTAACAAGAGAAAATGCTTTTCAATAATCATAGATACATTATTACTTATTCAATTTATTTAAACACCATATGAACAGGAAAAACCAAAGAAATGCTTATACTTTTGCTCTTGAGAAAATGATATAAATTTAAATTTCCAAATCTCTGCCATCTTAGCAAAAATGTTTCATAAAGATTAAACATAACTGGTTTTGAAGGGAAATTTCTTATTCTCTGCATAACTGCCATTAATTTATAATCATTGTTTTACTTAAGTTCAAATTAGCAATTAATGAAATAAATAAAAGATGAAATTTCAAATAAATTGCCTATTGATATTATGTCATTTAAATTTTGATCAAAATTTATCCTAACAACTCTCTTATTTCCTTTTTCTTTCTTTGAAGCAAATATCTGTTACCATTTTATGCTCTCTTGGGAATTGATCCTGCCATTATAATCATATATCTTGTTCTCCATTAAACCTTATTTCTATTCCTAGTTATATTCAGGTTAAAGTTTGTCCCATTCATATAAAAAATAGGCAGATTCTGGAGGTAGTATACATGCAGCAATCTGACATATTCTTTCTTTTTTCCTTATTCACATGACAGTTGGCTGCTTCTGAATGTTTATGGATGGAGTCTTTAGAAAAATCTATGCCAAATATTTCAAATGTTTTTTTCTCCAATCTACATTTGCTTCATAAGCCCCTATTAATTATGTCTTTGATGAATTCCGTTGAAATTTCTTAATGTAATTTCCTTGTAGCATGTTGGTATATTTTAATGTTAAATATAATATACTTGCTTGAACAAAGATTACTCTACTATGGACAAAGATTTTATTTTTTATAGAAAATCTCATGTTCAAAACAATAAAATGAAATTCAAAATTTCTCAACTTGAAGCAGACTAATCCATTTTGAAGTTAACAACTCTCAATTTGAAATTGTTTAGTCCAATTTGAAGTTTAAAATATATATATATATATATATATATATATAAATGAATACACAAAAAGGGGTAAATGAGTGCCATTCTATATTTTTAATTTTGCCCATATATTGTTTGTTTTTGATTTTGTCGACTGCACAGTATAGCAGGGTCAGTTGGGCACCATCTGAGGAAAAGAGCACCATCACGCAATTCACTCTGCCAGGAATTTGGAAACTGCATACTTCATGCCAGAAACTTCAATACAAACATTTCAGAATGTTTGGGTGTCAATTTGAGAACAGTGCAGAGGATTCAGAAAGAGTTGGATGAGTCTAATAGTATTTATGAAGGTACGGCAGCTCAGAAAACTCACTCTGATCATTCTGATAAGAAAATAATACCCAAATTTGTTGGTGAGGACCTCAGATTCAACACAGAGGCCTCCATCAAGTGCCTTGAGGAGGTAGTGCTGCCGTGGCTGCTGGAAGACTATGTCTGGCAACTATGTCATTTTATCAACTAATGCATGTAATTATTGCACATAAACACACGCACACATACAGATATGCAGGGTAGTGAAAATTTTTCAACCAGACCCACTTCCCAAAATCTGATCAAATGATCAAACATCAGAATTTTTTTAAAGTGTTTCTTTACCAGGCCAAAAACTTTTCTGCACTCTCTAAAATAGAAGTAGAAAAGTTCACTTTCATGTGCATACTGCCACTTCTTTCTATACATATGCAAACACTCTTATTTACTACTTGTATGTACCTACAAAGATGATATTACTTTCTCTTTTACACATATATACACACACTTATATTCAGAATTCTTTGACAAAGTAAAATAAAAGAAAATATATAAAATGCATAAATGTTCTAAGTATTCTGTATTTTTATTTCAAGACAATGTATTAGTCATTTTATAACAATTTCTTTAACATTGAATAATTGAAAGGGTCATAGTTTATGGGGTTCTGGATTATGGAACCTTTTCACATAAACTAACCTTAAGAAAAAAGTTAAGAAAACTGATTCAAACTAAATAAAATCTACTCACTCAGAAAATTCCATAATCATATAGTATAAGTAATTATACAGGTTTGTTGATTGAAAGGGTCATCATTCTTTTTTCAGTTGCTGATTTGATGAGATGTATTAAACCAAATTAAAGTCTATCATCTTTACAACTGGTTAATTGTAAAATTCAGAAAAGCAAAATAGTATTGTCACTTCTTATTAGAATTTATCTTCTGAATATTTTTTTATTAAACAGAATTTACTGAAAGTAAAATGCTGAAAATTCTTATTCACTTTATAGTATTTTTCCATTTAATTATTTATTTTCATTCTGAAATATATAATATTAACCGAAAGAATTAAATGTAATAGTATCTTCTCTTTTTTGATGTTGTTATTTGACATTAATATTTGTACTTCATAGTTCAAAAATGTCATTTACTTCTTAGTTGTTTCAATCAGTTGCTGTCTGTTTCAGTATCCTGTATCATTTGTGATCAACATAGAGAAGACTGTAATAAAAAAACCGCCAAGCACAGAGACCCAAAATCAGAAAAAGAATAAAACTGCAGGAAACAATACACAAACTGATGAAGCTGACTTCAGCAGAACTGAGGTTAGTTTCTTTTCTAATATTTTCAGTTATCAGTTGTCTTTTGTCTTATTTGTTATCTATTGGATGAAAAGTTATTAAGGATTTATCTATTGGAATTAAAATGAAATTTGACATTTTGAAGAGTTGCAATTATGTAACTTTATTAAAACAGTTGTATTATGCACAAACATATCTATTGTGAAAAAATATTGTTTGGATTGATTTTGGCTTTCATTATAGCTATTGAATGTCAGTCACTTGAATCAAATTATTGGCAAACTATATATAAAATAATTCACAACAGCTTTCATTGTTTCCAGGTCATTGATCAGAGATTCAATTTCTTTTTAGAGTTTAAACAATATTTATTTTAATTCTGTCTTTTATTACAAAACTTGAATGAAAGTAGATTTTTATTTGACTTATTGAGGAATATAGAATGTGAAAAAGTAGTATTGTATTCTTATCTTTAACAAATACCAAATCATTTTTCTTTTGTTTCTTTGATCAGATGAAATTTCAGTCTTGCAAGCGATCAAAACAACTAAGAATGATTCTAGCTTCTCAAAAATAATAACTGTCCATTATTAGGAAAATTAGAACAGTCTTTCTCTTCAGTCTACCTATTTTTATATCAGTGATTTTATTAGCATTTGTAACATTCTGAGATATATTACTTTTAATTTATTCTTGGTAACTACTGAGTCATTGCATGGTTCAACTATTCTAACCAGACACATGTTTTGGACAGATATATTTTTCTCAGAAGAATAATTTTTTAACCAATCAGTTTGAGATGCCACTCAAGGTTAGCACCATTCACTTGCATTAGAGCAGGTTGATTTTTCACTTTGTTTAGAAAATATTACACTTAGAGCAAAAGCTGGGGTTTGATGTGATAAGTACTGATGCCAAAAATTAGGTTTAAAGTTTGTCTGAAAAATGTATAGAAATATCTAATTTCTGCAGGCTTTTGTTTACAAAGTGACTTCAAAATTTTACTGTTACAAAAATAAATTCAAATAAAGTTGATATTTTTTATGTTAGATACATTAAATGGAAAATATATTCAAACCAGAATTCTAATTATGAATCAACATAAGCAAAATATGCAACTTTTTACTATATTTGATAAAAATTGTCAATAATTACAAAAAAAGCTAATCAATGAATAAGATCTTACACCATTTGTTAGGCTATAATTAATAAAAAAATTTTAAAAAATGTGTATATAAAATCATAATACTGCTGGACACGAATTATGAGACAAAATGTTTTACATCGTTTATTGAAAAATCATATTAAAACTACTGTACTGTATAACATATGACATCATATTGTAGCTAAATTGTTCCGTATAATTTCCCTTTGAAGTAAATGAAGGTCTTATTTGATGGCACATTGTTTTAGTAATAATGTGCTTGTGCCTTGCTTCTTGTCCATATACAATTTCTGAAGCTTCAGTAGTTAATTTAACTGATTATTCTAAACCTTGCAAATGTTCAGGTAAATTTTACAACTTCAATGATGTTCTATTCATTAGAACCTCTTGTAATTCATTATTTGAAAAACCTTCTGCAAGCAGAGGTTCACACACTTCATTTTATAAGAAAGAGGTTAATCAAATTTGCCCAGAGTGTCACTTCAGAGTTGAATGTAATTTTTTTAATCTCTTCTTTGGTATCTCGCTACTTCTGAAACAGACAAAAAATATTTTTGTGCTATAAATTTTTTAGTGCAAGATTCTGTATTTCAGTCAACTGTTGATGTATTTTCTGGATCATGTTGAAGATATACTGTTGTTGGTTATGGAATTTTTTTGAAAATAAAATAATTTTAAACCAACTAACTGCATATCAATTTTATAAGACTGTACAATTTATCATAGAGTTCTGATGAATAGGCATCTCTGGTCCATAAACACATTAACCTGATGGCTAAATTTGGCTATCTTGCTTAATCTAGAGACCTAATTTTTCGAATAGTGTTCTTTTAAATTTTTTCTCCAGAGCTGTAACATGCCCTGCCTCACAACCAGTGTTTATACAAGAAGTGCCTTAATGAATTTTTCACTGTTGAATGCTTCTAAAGTAGCAGCAACATCAACTGTGGGTTAGATATCTACTTTTTACGTTCATCTCTGGTGAAAGTCAAGTGGTGCGTTGGTCCTTTGGTTTTCTTGATTTGTTTTCACCGTTTTCCTCTGTAATTTCTTTGTATTGTAAAGTGTCCTTATCAACTTTGCAATTAACACTAATGCAGATATTTTCATGTTTCTGAACATGCTTCTGATGGGCTGTTAGTTTTACTGTAACCTTTTCACTGTCTATTTTTGACTTGTCATTTAATTTAAGGCTTGAATGAAGACAGCCTATATCTTGTTGATCTAATAAAACAGCATTAGCAAGCCATACTACAAACTTGGAAGATATATTACCCTTAATAAGTTCTATGACATATCTGGAGACTAAGTTCCCTTAGACTGTCTCCATGGCTCAAAACTGTCATTGGTTGTTTCTTTTCTGGAAGACATTGGTGAAAAAATATCTGATGTAGAGGCAACATGTGTAGAAGCCTGTTGTTGATATCTTTCAATCTGCCTGTTAATCTCTCTGCTTCAGTTGCATGATTTTTGTACTTTTTGACAGCATCTTTGTCAATAGTTCCAAGTTGAAAACTGCCATTTGGTCCTGTTTTCTCTTTGAGCTTTTAAATATTCTGTTTCTTCAATGGAAAACTGAGATTTCAAAATGTGTATGAGTTTAAAAACAGATCTAGTATACATGATAAATATGAAGGAAAATATCAATATTATTTACAAGAGATGGAAAGATTATCAGAAGTAAATTTATGATCTAGTTCAAATTAAACAAAGAAAAAGTATAGAATTAACCTTAACTCCTTGTGAGGAGAACAAGTGCAAACATTATCCTTCTTTAATAAAATTTCAAAAGTAAATTTGAAATAAGAAAAATAGAAGATGAAAGAAACAATATTACATACCTAAATGGAAATATAATTTCTTCCACAGAAATAAAGAAACACATTTTAAGTAAATGCCAGTCACTTTGAAAATACAAAATTATGCAGATTGAACAAAATATTTAATTTATTTTTCAAATAATTAAATCTGTAGTATTTATACAAAAGAACTAATTAATTTTACAGTGATAAATGAACAGTGGTTGAGATTTTAATATTGAATGTAATAAAAATAAGGGCAAATGTTTATAACTTAGATCATACTCATTGAAAGAAAGTTCCAGTACAAGATTCATAAATAAAATATTTATTTTACTACTTTTGAGTAAAATGAAGAAATTTCTTCTTTTTTTTTTTATAAAGTTTTATAGTGTGTAATTTTTTTCCACTGAAAAATAACACAACTTAAATTCCATATGAGAAAAAAAAGAATTGATTTTGATTGCTGGACACAACCGAAATATATTATTGTACTAGTTTAAAAGCTGCCCTATTGGGTGACATTTACACTAGCTCCTGCAGTGGGCACTTGATTGAGCCTTCATCACAATAGGTAGGGAGGAGTAGGTGCAATAGGCAATAATAAATTACAGAAGAACTCAAAATTGATCACTGCATTTAAGTTTAGTATTAATATCTAAGTTTACCTTTTAATAGTTCAATGATAATTTTGCTGCCACTTAATTTAAAGACAATTTGATGTACATAAGTCCTTACTTTCTGCGCAAACAATTATTTTTATTTCATGGGTGACTTTTGCTAGATTTCGCAATTAATTCCGACTATTTGAAAAAAATTTGTTGCAAAAAATCACCAAAAACAATTGCAGTAATGAAAACTTGTGAATCCAAAATTTCAGGATTGAGGGTCCAGATCTGGCCCAGAATGTTTTTAATTTGCTCATGGAGTTCAGCCCTGATTCCCAAATAGTATATGTTGGGCTACAACCTCTAGGAATAAAGTTGAAATAGTGTGACACAGTGACACACTGACATTTGCATTTATTATATAGATTTGCCTTTATAAAGTGAATATTTTTATATTATTCATAATTCTAATTTATTTTTCTTTGATTTATTGAGAACAAAGTAAAAATTGCAATTGGAAAACATTCTATCAAATGACATTTACATATTTGTTTGCCATAAGACTACAGAAATTTTTGATAGATTCACTTATCACCAGAATGAATTTTGAACCAAAACTTAAACTTTAATTTTGTGTCATTACTTATGTCAAACTCCAACTTTCAAATTGAGTGCAATATCATAGTTCTGTTCTACTCTGTTGCAATTAGATCTCTTTCTGATTCATTCTGCATGCTGTCTGGATGTGAACACTGTGAAAACTAGAGTTCCTCTTCATTTACCAAAACAGGTGGGTGTTTTGTGAAGGAAGCCATTCTTCTTTTAAATGTGTTTCAGCATTTGCTGAACAAGACAGCTTCTTTTATCACACAAAAGAAACTACGCCTTTGCTACCATTGATGATTTACTTTTTTCCACAGACACCCAGTCTCAGCTAAAATTGATTATCTTGTCAAAGGAAACTACAACAACAATTTGTCCAAAAATAAGATCACTTTGTAACAGACTTCCTTTTATCTATAGACAAGAGGAGACAACTCAACAGTCTTAACTCAGATTAACAAACACCACAAAACACAAAGAACAAAAAAGTCATTTTCTGTGAATAGGCTCCACACATCATGTCCAGTCTATGAAACAAGCTCCTGCAGTGGCCAATCACAAATGTTCCCACTGGAAAAAGGAGATGCTGCTGGGGATGACTAAATTAGTCGAGGGTTAGTAGGCCACTAGCCATCACACAGGGCACTGCTGCTGCTGCCATGACCTCATCACCATGACAACTACAGTTGCAGCCATCATGCAAGGCACTGCTGTTGCCACTACCGCCACCACCACCTCTCAACATGAAGGCTCCTCTCAAGAATTGTTACCACTTCTCTTCTTGACTAACCATAATTCAGCTATGCAGCTTCAACTCCACCTAGCTACAAGCAAATAATAACATCTCAACTTTGACACCTTTCAGCTACTAGCCTTCACTGTAACCAACACCGGCATTTTGGCCAATACCAACCACGCCAATTAATGACATGAACAACCAACTGCTGTCTTAGAAAGCATACCCAACTCAATAAAATTGGCATTCCCTTCATAATCATCAAAAAGGCCCCCATTCCGTTTAAAGCCCACCTTGATTTGATACACTGATTGCCATCCTGACAATACATTAGAAATGGACATTCCAGATTCATAGCTTTGCTAACCACTCCAGGACAACACCTTGCCAAAACCAACATGGACACTGACCATATCCTGTAACCTCGGCCAGCACAAAAATAGGTTGACTCCTTGCTTTTCTCTTAACCCTGATCAACATCCAGACAACACACCAGTACAACACTGTGTATATTAACAATAAACATTGTTCAAATGCTAATCCTTGTTATTCCTTTCTTTCGCAACCAGATGCTTAATATAACAGTTCCAAAATCAAACTGCCCTAATGCAACAGTTATCCACTTTTGAGCAAAGTCCACCAAAAACAAGTCAGACTCTCTCTCTCGACCTTCAGATTGTACTTGAGAAATGCAACCAGATGAGGAGAAAGACACAATGTTCCATGGATTTATCCTTGCCATCCATATTGTGACATATTTTGGCTAAGCCCTTTTGAAAATGTATTTAGAATAACATGATCAATAGAGAAAGCATGGAATTCAATGAATGAATATTAGATGAGAAATTAAATTTTTATAAGATTGGCAGTGTTTCTAGAAATATGTGAACAAAATTCTTGTTTGTAAAACTAGAGTACATAAAACTAAAGCCCGTATAACATCTTAATTTTATGCTGAATACTATCTGTAGGGTGAATAGAAGTTGAATACTATTGCAAATATTTATTTTTAATTTTCAGAGTTTTAAAGGTATAATGTACTAAGAATTTACATGAATTTAATTTTAGTAAAAGATAGCATCATCAAGGACATTCCAAGTGGTCAACTGATGACAATAATAATTGATAAAGTATAAAATAACATTTTGCTTATTTTTATATACAGTATAAAAATGAATTTCAAATTGAAAACTTTTTTCAGTTGTAATTTTATTTATATATCTATATATTACAAAATATTGATGATCATTTTTTTTATGAATATCAATAACTATCTTGTATTAACTTTTTGTTAGATTGCACAATAACTTTTAGCATTATTACTTACAAAATACTTCTTTCTTTGTACATTTACAATAAATAACATGTTACTTTAAATATCTGACAAAGAATACTTCCTTATATTTTCTTCATAGCTTTATAGAAAGTGTAAAAACAATATTTATCATTATATTTTAAATATTTGCTAAGTTTAATATAATCCTGATTCTGATAGATATTGATTTCTTCATAATGATTCAATGCGAAATTGAAATTGGTCCATGGCATTTCTTTCCTTGGTCTCTACTTTTATATTGAATTCTTTTTTTTTTCTCCTGGAATTCTTCTCTTTTTACTCTTAATGAATTTGAATTTTTAGAATTAACAAAATTATTTTTTTTCAACTTTGAACAAAATATTGTCTTTTTTTTCTTCTTTTGCAGAAACGTTTGAGTTTGTATACAAATGCTGTAAAACCATTTTTGGATTATTTTAAAAAGTCAGATAAACTGATATCACTTGATTGCTCATCTGGTAAGGTTGAATGAAAACATAGTTTTATCATCAAAATCTTTTATTATATTAAGAGGAAGGATCAAAGTATTTTTGAATATTTAATTAAATTTTTTACTCCTTTTTTTATAGAACATTCGAAATTTTGATTAAAAAAACTTGTTTTTCTTGCATCAGTAATTGTACTAACTTTTAGCATAGCAAATTTTAACCTCTTTTTTTTTAAGTGACAGACACATTAATTTGGAAATTCTTGCAAAAAAATCAAATAATTGTCAGATTTTAATGAAATTTTCAGGACTTATTCAAAAATGAATGAAATTATTTTTTTAAAATTTTTTTTTAATTTTGAAAATTTTGGTAAAAATTTTTTTTTTTTTTTTTTTATTTTCAGCTTCTTACTTAATTTTATGAAAACTTGAAAATTCAACGAGATAATTTTTTAGTGACTATATTAGTTAAAAGCAGAATTCTTTGAAGAATTTAAATCACCAAATTTTTTTTTTTTTTTTGGACCCCGTCTTACCAAAAATCTGTTCTGAATCGAAAAATAAAAAAAAAAATAAATAAAACTAAGACATTATTTAATTAGAGAAGCTTTTAATTGCTTTTATGAATAATATATATTGTCTGAAGAAAAAAAAATTTTCGACAAAAAATGAATTTTTACAAGATTTGATTTATTTTTTTTTTTACAATTTTTAATTTGAATAATTTATAAAGTTTTTAAATCTTTTAAAATTCATTTTCAATGTGATAATTCTTAGGAAATATTGTTATTAAGTAAAACTATATTTACTAATCATATATTGTAAAGCTTATTACAATCTGACAACCCTGAATATTTTAAAAAAAATTTTGATTTGTTTTTGTATGTGTGATTATGTGCAGAATTTCTGAAGGTACAAACCAATAAATCTAGCATTAAAAGGTTACATGTTTTAAGGGTCATTCTCCTCTTACAGTGAAAAAAATATAACCCTCAAATATTATCATCTGCTCTACAATACTTAACTATGAACACGTTTGGCTGTCAATCAATCAATAAATCGATTAACACATCAGAAAAAAAAGACCCCGTAGTTAAGAAAAATGTTTGTATACAACATTTTATGCTATAAGTAATATAATTTTGTTTCAAATCAGATTAATTTAACTTTAAATTTGCTAATTTTCCTCAAATAAGGTTTCAGAAATATATATTTTATTTTTGCAAGATGTTTTAAAACCGAGAATTAACTTTTGTTTACAAATGTGTCAAAAAAAAACTATTCTGATCAATATATTTTTGATCGATTTTACTGAAAAAAAAATCATTCTTTTTCAATCAATATAATTTTTCTGTTTGAAATACACCACAGATTTTTATTTACAAGATGAAAATAGTTGAAATTTTTTTTTCTCCAATCATTTAGCTTTCAACATTAATTCAAAATTATTGTTCATTTCTGGAATTTTTAACTGTAGAATTTTTTTTTATGTTAAAAGTTTTTTTCTTAAAAACAACAGACATCTCTATAGAAATTAACTGTAAAAGAATTGTTACTCGTCAGTGATGATGAAACCTTAGATATTAATGTCTTTTTGTTTCTGTAATGTCCTTTTTTAAGTCTGAATAGTAATAAGCCTTATGGACTTATCTGGTTTAAAAATGTTTCAAAGTATATAGAGTCTGGACACTTATGTTAAAATTAGGTGCATATGTATAAATACAGCTATGCTTATATAATTATTTTAAACAGTTTTTGACATAGAATGGTATTTCCATCAAAATGGGAAACTAAGAGACTACACTGAACTTTTTAAGAAGCTATGATATGTAGAATAGTTTGAAATCATGTAAAATATGATATCTGTTGTTACCAATGAAGCAGTGAGATCAAAACAAGTGGATTTTACATCCAGAAAAGGCATACATGAAATTATTTTTGCCATCTTTTACACCATCCTCAGAAAATTTACAAAGGGTATTTTATAACTTCCTACAAATCTATTAAATTTTAATAGTGTTATTAGACTTGCCTGGAAAAGGCATACACTCCACCATTTGATAACAAAATCTCATAAGCATTCCCAACTACTTTGGCAGACCTTGTCATCAACCCCATTCTTGTTTGAATAAAAATATTGTTTTTTAAAGTTTGCCTTTTCATCATTTCTCCTCTAGATACTAATAGGTAATTGGAATCAACTTACATCATACCAGTGTATGCATCATCACATTCTAATTGTATTAAAGTGTTTCATTCTTGACTATCATTTTGGCATCAAAATGAGTCTTTTATGCATTGCTCACTTACATATATTCTAGCTGATTTGTCTTACACAAAAGTCCTATTTAAAGTAGCATCTATTGATTAATAACAAAAATTTGAATTATATAAACTCTCTCTATATACCTATTTCTCTTTATCTAGCTAGCAGTAATTATCTCTAAAATATTAGGCTTTTGTTAAGAAACTAATGATATTTATCAGAACACAAAAAATTATTCCATCTCCCACCTTTTCTTTTCTGTCAAGTTAGTTGACTGTTTCCCTGAAAGACTTAACTTCTAGCCTAGCCACCAGGTTGTCCATCCAATGTAGCTCTACATATATCACTAAGAATTACTTTTAGTAAATCAGTTTTCATGTACTTCTTTGCCCCACTTACATATTTCTCTTTGCTAGACTGCTTTCATATCTTTAGCCATTACTCTTAATATTCTACATCTTTTCTTGCTGTTTGATAACACTAGCTTCTTCAAATACTTTGTTGTTGGTCACTCCACCACATTTTTATTTATTACCATTTTAATTTTTCTCAAATCTCTTTTTGTGACACTTTTAAAACCAAATGTTTTTGTATGTATCTTGTTAATGTTTTAAATTTCTTTTTGATTGTTTCAGTCTCTGTCAAACTTATACTATTATATATAATTAAATATTTCCAATATATTGAACAAATCTTGAATTGCATGATAAAATCTCAAGCCACCAAATAAGTTATTGTTAACATTCTTAATAAAGATATGCTTTATAAGTTGAAACTCACCTGATTTATTGCTCATATAAATATATCCTGAAAATTGTACCAAAATCAATTGGTACATAATTCCATTGTGAAAACATTGACTTGCATAATAAAATCTGACATAATGTATAGCAGTACAACATTGTTAATTGGTTAAGCATCTCACTTCACATATGGTTTTCCCTTTTCTAGCTCAACTGCTGATGTGTTAACAGTTATTACTGATTTATCTATCAAGCTTTAGATAAGAATGGCAAGGCTTAGGCTGTGGCTTTAGATATTTTGAAAACTTTGACAGGGTATGATGGCCTTCTTCACAAGCTGAAGGGTGATGGTGCCTCCGGGCTCTTTGTTGTGTAATGAAAATAATGTTGACCAACCAAGCTTTTAGATCCTTTCACATTAATAGTAAGTCCAATAGGTCCAATAAAGTAAAACTGGGAGCTGCTCTTGAAAAATGACCTCCAATCAGTTGTTAACTAGATCAAGAAGATGCTTGTAAATCTTAACACCTTCACAATGAAACTATCTTTTAATCATCATAGAGAAGCATTTTTGACTTCCATCAGTATGTCTGATGCTAACCTCCAAGAGTGCAACTTACTGTGCCTCCTTTGTTTCACATTTTCCACTGACATGGTGGAATGACCATATTGAATCAATTGCTAGGAAAGTTGGTTGACTTTGTTGGGCCAGACAATTTTTCTTGCCAGAATCCATCTTGCACATTTATAAATCTATCATTCATAAATGAATTGAATATTGTCATATATGGTCTGGTGCTCCTGCTAGCAAGATTCTCAACAAAATCCAAAGAAGAGTCTGTAGTGTTATTAGTCCTGACCTGGAATCTTGACTTCAATCACTTTCTCACTGCCATGACAATGGCAACTATTCTGATGAGCTTTCCTCATTGGTGCCTAAACCACATGAATTTCAGCACTGACAACTAGGTTTCATCATTTTACTATTGAAAAGCTGCAAGTTCTATTCTAATAGTTCTTTTCTTGCCTGTGGAACTCTCTTCTGGTTTTTTGCTTCTCTGCCACTTATGATCCTCAAAAACATAAATACAATGGTAATCATCATCATCTGTCTTCCTGACACTTGTTCTTTATTGTCCTTTCTCCTCACTAACATCTTCTCATTTTTTTTCACTCTTAGTAACCTTTCATTTTAGTGACATTATTGCCTTACTTGGGATAAAAAAAAATATGTCTTATTTATATCTGATTGATTTTAGATAAAACCAGATCTTAATAATTATAATTTCTGAATAAAATTGTAATCTTCATAATGGTGCATAATATATTGTTTTCTTCTCATCATCATCCAGCCCCAGAAGAATGCAACTCCATTCATGATTTGTATTTAGTGAATTACCTCTCTCTGAATGACTTTGCAAATTCAAAACCAGGAGTTACATCACTGGTAAGTGTCACTTTATAATTATTATCATTATTTAAATGTATATCTTGACTATTTTATATTTAAATATATTTGTATTACTCTTCTTTCCTTTTAACATAAGAATTTTGAATGAATAATGGTTGCTCATACAGTTTTGGCTGTTGTTTGTAAGAGTTAATGACCTGGATTTTTATTTAAATTTGAACAAGGGCATCTTTGCATCTCTCCAAAATGTTTTTTGTGATGATTTATTATGATAATGAACTTTGCAAATGTAGTACAGAGAGGTTACTAAGGTAAGATTGGAAAACAAAGTCTTTCAAACAAAGTTGGAAAAATATATTTTTGTTCAAGTTGAGTGCATACTATTCATTATCAATGTGCATTGTACTTGTCAGTACAGATAACCTGTTGAAATCATGCAACCAGCAGACCAAATCAATATGGCTAGAGTGTACAGTAATTAAAATGTAAAATAAAAGCATCAAAAACAAAAAAGTAATACAATAAGTAAAATACCTTATAAAATAATATTCAGACAAAAATAGAATACTTAAAAACATATGATTATGTATAATCTTTGAATTTATTCTCTAAACTAAAACTGTAGCATATATCTAATCTAAACATAAACAATAATCATTATCACTCAAATAAGATATTTTCGCATATTTCTAATGACTAAATAAATCTCACAAGTTCAATCTGGAAATAGGACATAGACTGTAGTCAACCTTTTGGTAACTTAGTTGTTTGTTACCACAAACTAGTTTTAAATCAAAGACTTTAATCTTCTTTTTTGAAGTTGATATATTATATATAAAACTCAAAATAAGGATATTAATTGGCTAAAAATAATTGCTTGAAAAAAAAGTCATATTTTTTACACTATTAATTTTAAGGTTTCTAACTCAATGATAATTTTTTCATGTCACTTAGAATGTAAATAAACATTGCAAAAGTAATTTTAATATAAAATAATGCACTACTACAAAGTTATTCTCAGTAAATTATTTTGAAAACAATGGATTTGGTAAGTTATTCTCTTTGTGAAACAGATATGTTGCTTATTTTGCTCATAAGCAACCTGTGAATATGGCAAACAAAAAGCAAAAAAATTTACTATTGAAATAACAAAGGATACTAGACATATTGCACTGAGCAATTTTCCTGAAAAACGATTGTTCATAGGAAAAAAGAAATGTTAACTCTATTATTTACTAATTATATTTCTGTAGATTTATTGTTTAGATATTTTTCCCATACCAATTTATTTTTATCATCAAACAGCTTCCCACTAAAATCATTTTTAAGTCATGACACTTGATCATCCATAAAAATTGATTAATATTACTCTCAATATAATGAAAGTAAAGATACACAGCCATTCACAAGCATGCACCTATTTTAATCTAACATTGTAAGTATTATTCTGTTGCAATCCAATTTCCTTCAGAAATAAAAGCATATTTAATAAACTAGAAAGGATTGATATTACTAAGAACATTTACTTGACTAAAATTTAATGAATATGTAAAAAAAAAAAAATGATTTTGAGATATATATGTGTGAAATCTCCTGTTTTCACAGCTACCCATTTTAACAATACTATTGTATATGTCAAATATTGAAATGATCTTGATTTTGTTTTCAATTTGCAGGAGAAAGTATTTCGTGCATTGTGTTCTCATATTACCTACCTCGATTTTGAAAATCGTAACTTCCTTGTTGATATGACAGATATTGAAATTACCACGGAGTCCTTTAGACACATGGTAAAGCCCTTTTGATTTATAACTCATTGAAAATTTAATTTCAATAAAGATATCATTTCCTTGATTTGTACTTTTCATTTAAAAATTTTCCTTAGTTTTTTATGTACTGTAAAGAAAACAAATGAACTTTTAAGCTTGTAATGAAGCTTTATTTGACCACTGCACATATGTGAGGTTTGACCATCACATATTTTAGTAGAATAGATCGAGAGGGAGACAAATATTGTTGCCTTCACCCCATTCTCCCCTGCTCAATTTTATTCAGTCAAAGGTTACATAGTCATCTAAATGACTAGACATTTTACAGATTTGTCCAGAACTTCACAGTGGTTCCTGGTCAAGGAATTCGGACCCTGCAGCATCCTAACACTTTTCTGTCTCCTACTCGACATAGTGGACATACATAGTCTGAAAGTCAGTCACCACTGGCAGTGCTTGGGTGCTCTTGCTTTTGTTGAGCTGATCTAGTGTCAGTAGTCATTTCAATCTTCTGGGCTTTGGTTCTCAGAAGAATCCACAGATAGTGTATCATGGGTGCTATCAATAGTGAAGTTTATGGGCTCAAAGCAGGAGTGACCATTGAAGTTCTGATACCTCTGAGTAAGATGTCTAATTGCCTCTCATCAGGGCGATGAATTAGAACATATTGTTGATTGCCTTCCAGCAGTTCCACCTCATTCACCGATGATTCATATTAGTTCTGACAGACATGTCTTTTTAACAGAAGGAGGGGGCTGTGAGAGGTTCCCGTAGGGATTCATCTTGGGAATTTAAAGAATGTGGTGTTGCATTTGTGCTAGTGTGCAATAGACTTTTGATATGTAAAAGCCTAAAGTGTAATAGGGCATTTGTGGTTTGCAGCTGCTAGCTATATAGTTTTCCATATAATCCCATTATAACATTCACATAGACCTTTACCCTAGGGGGTTATATGGTATGGCTTGACTCAGCCACATTCCTCATAATTAAGAATTGCTTCAACTCTCCTGACATAAAGACTGTTCCCTGATAAGTGTGGCTGTATGCTGGTACCCCAAAATTGAGAATAAGAAGCAGAAATATTAACTGTTCCAGCTGAAACATTGGGGCAGGGAAAAGCAAATGGAAACCTAGAATATTCATTGATCACCATTAGAAAATATCTATTTCCAGTTTTACTTGGTAGCAGACCCTTGAAATCTAAGTCAAGTCTCTCAAAGAGTTATGTGGTTTTCATGAGAGTTCTTGGTTTGAGTTTGTAGAACCAGGGTGTGATTCGAGTTTTTTTTTTTTTTTTTTTTTTTTTGTGTTTTTTTTTATTTGGCTAGTTGTCTTAGGGTTGTACATGAATGCTACAGACTTTTGTAGGTTACTAGTCTAAAGTGATGGCTGTTCTATCAATGTTGCCTTTACTTTAGAGCCTCCACAATGGCTTTTTCTATCATTGTTTTCACTGCAAAGTGCTCTGGAAAAGAATGCTATGGAGTGGTTGGAGTGTCTCTGTGTGGCAGCAGTAGCACAGTTGGAGACATCTATTTCTACTATGAGAGGAATAGTGTGATTTACTGCCACAATAGATTAAACAGCAGGAGGAAACTGGTAATTTGTGTTAATGGGTGTATTTTCTAAGAGAATGGGGTTACCCAGTGGGGAATAATGTGAGAACATACTCATCACTTATTTTAAGGCAGAGATATTAGGGATCAGTAATGGCTTCAGCTATTCAGGTTCTGGCACCATATTCTCTTTGCATTTTACATATCCTAGTAGGTTAATAGTGCTTAACCCATATTGGTTATTATTGTATCTGTGACCCTTTGTAAACTGGCCACAAAAGGAATGCATCAAAATTAGTACAACTGTCCGTATGCTTTGAAAACCATGTAAGGTTTGTCTTTAAGGTTTATTTCTACCTGGTAATAGGCACTTTTGAGATCCAGTGTGCTAAAAGTTGTATTTGACAATCTCACCTATCATCTCGTCAATGCGAGCTCATATATAGGCATCTAACTGTGTAAATTGGTTTATAGTTTGTGAGTAGTCTATAACCATTCACTTTTTCTTATTTACAGATGTTATCAAGACTTGTTCCTTCTCTTAGCATTCTGAATGAATTTCTTGTCTTCAGAAGAATATTTCCTAGATTTGATGGCTGCTGGTTTACAGTCTGTTGTTAAAATATCAAAGAGGGAGGAGTATTATACATTTATTGTTTTACACTTGTGGCATATTGACTTTCAGGCTGGAGAATTGAGTCTACAAAAATAACATTTATGCTGAGCCAAGGCAGCAGTAACAGGTTGTTCAAAAGAGAAGGGTCTGGGAATTGTGAACAAGAGGAAAGTTTTGAGCAGGGGGTACAGAAACAAAAGGTTTTGTTTGAAGAGAGAGACAAAGTAATCTAAGCAGATGGAAATGTCCAAACCTATGGGAGTCCTGCAATAGAAGTACATGGGATTAGTGTAGATCTGACAATTTCAGTTTGCATGTGAGATGCAGATTATTTCTGGGCAATGTCTAATAAAATAGCCTGTTGTCAGGTCTAAAGTTTTATTTTCAGGTAGCATTTGTCTTATTTGATGAGACAATATCCAATTAATAAAGGCATCTCTTATAAATTCATTTCAAGCTTGTTCCACTCTCAATGCCTTCAGGTTGTAGTCTCTGGTTAGTGTCTTTAGGTCCATAGGTACTGGTCTAAATTCTCACTTGGTTGTCGTCTAGCAGCAAGTAGGTGACAAGCAAAAAACATTTTTTTTTCTTACTGAACATTTCTTTTAAAATGCCAACAGTAGTTTCATAGTTCTCTCAAGAAGAAATATTTTTGTAAATCTGATGAAATAATATAGTTTTTTGGTTCCTGACATTCTTATCAATGAGGAAGTCTCTAGGGCTGTGAGAAAGTTGTTGAATACAATCAATAGTATCTGTTGTTGAATACTATCAATAGTATCTGAGTCAGACACATCTAGGTCTAAACATTCTGTTTCAGATACTAGACCATAATTGCTTTGAATAAATTTTAAAGAAAATAGATGAAACTTTAACCTTGTAATGAAGCTTTATTCAAAGCAATTCCATCACTGCACATATGTGAGGTTTGACCATCACGCTTTATGATAGAGTAGATTGACAGGGGAGACAACTATGGTTGTCTTCACGACATGTACAATCAAATTTTAACTGAGATTATTTATTGTCTTACATCAACTATAAATTTGCATGTTTAAGTTTACAGTGAACAGAAACTAATGACATCTCTAAAATAAAATTCTAAAAAAAATTATACAATTAATATTGAAATTCAATATTTCTTTCCTTATTCTCATTTTTATAAGAAAAAAACAATAATATGCTAATAATCTCAGACAAATTACAAATATGAAAAATGTTTTTAATTTAGACTTTATTTGATTATTTTCATAAATTATTGTTGTTTTTACTTCATCATCAACATAAATTTAATGCTTTCATTTTAATTTATACTCTTACTGATTATATCTCAAGGAGTATGAAAAAATTTATAGGTTTGAAGTAAATATTTAAATAGAAATTATTCTTTATGTAAGAAGACATTAAATGGTAAAATTTAAGTTTGCTTGTTTTCTTTCCTAAAGGAAAACATGTTTTTTTTAGTTGTTTTAGAAAATACTTCATTTGATGACATATAAAACACATGGAAATAAAAATTTCACTTTCACATATCAGATGCATAATAATTACTTTTAACATTTTCCTTTTGACAAAAACTGTATGCTATCAAATGAGATTTTGTTGTTTTGTTTTTTGTGGGATTGAAGGAAAACAAAACAAATATAAAATCATTTATATCACACTTGTCTTTTTTCTTTCTTTTCTTATCATCAGTCAGCCAAGAAACCTGTCTTATTCTTTGAGGTCACTAATTCAATACTGAAGAAATACCTGGACTGCCGAAGTCGTGATAATAAACAAACAAAAGAAGTCAAGACGGTGGTATCAACAGAGAATGAAGTCTACTTATTTCCAAAATATACAAACTCAAACCTGTGCAAAAACATTGCTTGGTGTCTCACTCATTATCGAGAAAACTTATAACAGAAACAAATGTGTTACTTCACTCAGCAGAGTGAGTGTAGTAATCTACTGAAACCAAGTGATGTTTCATTCACTTATTTTACAAACCTTATTACATGTCCACTAAATGCATACAAAAAATCTTACTAAGTACAGTGACAACTTGTTACAGTAGCATGTACTATGTAATGTCTTTATTGAATGCTAGGAAAAGGTTTATTACTAAAGAGCTTATGGGAGACAGTGTCTTATAAAAGATAAATAAGGATTTGTGATAGACTCTATTTGGAGCCTTGACAAAACTCATGATGGATACCTGAAATTCTCCTCAATTGTGAGTTGCTATGATTAATTTAATGCTCGTCCTTGCTCTTAAAGTACTCATTAACTTCCTTTACTTTTCACTTGTGGATGGTATTTCATGCCATTCAAGCTTTGACTGCCTAAATACCAAAATGAACATTAAATTTTCTTGGTCAGTAAGAAGTCTCTTTCTCAACTGTTGTATTGATAATTTGTGTGTGTGTGTGATCACGTGTGTGTGTGTGGGATCACGTGTGTGCACACACACATACACACATTTGGAGTTCAAACTACTTCCTAAAGATACTATCTCTGAATAATTTCCCCAAATATGCTGCAGGTGCAATTTAGCACTTAGTAAGATAATGGGGTTTTATTTCCTGGGCCAAGTGATAAAGTTAAAAATGGGATTTACTTTGAAGAAACATTCCTCATTCAGATATTAATTTATACAGATTTTTTTGTGACGTTTTGATATTTTTTAAGATTATTCTTTTGTTAAAACTAAACTGACAAGTTTTCATTTCACCAGAGTGGGAATAAATAATAAAACATCAAAGTTATACCAAATGGTGGTAATTTTAATAAATTTTCAAAATACTAGGTATTGTTAAGTCATCTCTTGTCTATAAAGTTTATTCCTACTATAATTATATGTGTATAAATGTATTCATCTGTGAGTAATTTGTGAGAATATGATTTTCCTTGTAATGTTTCATTCTATATTAATTATGAGTAAATACCAAACAAATTTGGATATCAATGTATCTCAGTCTGATGACTCAATCATCCTTGTTAAGGGAACTAACAATTTTGAACTTGGTTCTTTTTGCTGGTCAAGAGTTCCAATAATTGATGGCCAATTCATTTGGCATTTGTTAATGCATTTATTACTTTAGATTGTATTAAATAAAATCAAGTTGTGATATAAACTTTTATCAAAATATAAATTTATTTATTTCACTTAATGAAAATTATAAAATATTTCTAATGTTATCCCATATCATCAGAACATTCCCATAATTCATATCATTCTCCATTTTGAAGGTAATAGTTTATTGTACAATTTTGGGGCATTGAAGTAAGATACAAATATTACATCATATAATAATGTATACCTCTGACCATATATTATTCCAGGTTGAGTATGTAACAATAAATCAACTGAGTATATTTTTGAAAGGACACTGACAGACAAAAGGAAATAATGAACTACATCAAAGGTGGAGAAAGAAGATATGATTCTGAACACAAAATAATATACAATGTTGAAAATGTTGTCAAATATCTTTTAAATTGATTCATAACATCAATTATGAAATAAAAATACTTGATGTTTTCAAAAGGTTTACCTGTATGTGTTAATATCAAGGAACAATCTTGTGTTACCAGTAAAAAAAATTATTAGTTTTTTGTCTGCCCTTGTTGAGTAGTAGTTAAATGATGATTCAAAATCAAGATTGTGGGTTCAGATTGCTCCAGTTGCTAGTTTGCCATTTTACATTCCATTTATGGATATACACTGTTAAAGGATAAACACATACAAAATAATTATATTCACATGACTAAATTGTTATTATCTCAGAGTTTTATCATTACACTATTTTTTTTTAATAGAAAATTTTGAAATTTTGTTTCTACTTATGAAATAAAAATACTGTTTAAAGATCTAAATGAAACTATTTTATGAAAGTATAAAAATAATATCTAGTTCAGTATATCATTAATGAAATGTTAACTTTTCCTATTAGTTACTGTTTTTTTATTATTATTTGGTATGATTTGTTTTTTTTTATATTTAGTTCTGATATTTAAGCTTGAAAAGATATTTGCTCCATGTTCTTTGATTACATTCATGAGAAAACTGTTAATTACTTTGTGAAATAATTTCACAAAGACAAATTAAGTCAGTAATTTTGGAGACACTGCTTAAAATAGAATTTTTACAAAAAAGAAATTATTTTCATTTTTGTATTTTTTTGTTGGTTAGCTTCAAATTTGGCTTAAGTGATAACAATGCTTAAATTATGAACTTATTTAAAATCAAGTTTTATTTATTTTATATTTAACAAATGTATTGGTACATTTTATAACTATTCTTATACTTGCAAATTTTAAATCATTTTATAATCCTATACATGATCTGACTGTTTTAGACTTGTAAAAAAATTAAAAATATTTTCAATATATTTAGTATATTCTTCACTCTAATTTCATAATTAACATATTGATCAATTCTTTGCAAAGTTACAAATATTCTTTAAATGGTAAAATATAAAAAGCCCTATTGTCTTCATGAAAAGAAAATGTTTTTAATGATTTTTACAAACATTGTTTTTATTTTTAACATAGAAAAATAACCACAAATTAAAAATTAAGTGCAAAAATTTAACTTTAACATTTTATGAACATATTATACTGATACAAGATAGTTATTCTTTCTCATATAAATCATGTAACTCAATTGTTCTATCACATTCATAAAATCTTTTAATGTTAATTTTCTCGTTTAATGGTTATGCTGCATCTTGCAATTATAATAACTCCTAATTTTATTTCTCTTAAGTGTGTAATTTGATAAAATTCCACATTATTAGAAAAACTGATTAAAAAAAAAAAGTTAAATTTGCTTTATAATATTACCATGAGTTTGTTTTAATGAGTATTCTCAGAATTTTTTTAAAATTATTTTTTTAAAGTATTTTTTCTATATAGGAACATTACCATATAAGATCTGATAATGCTCCCTAAACTTCCTTAAAAATAATACATTTGCTATTACAGAAACCTGTGATAATGGAAACAATGATGTTGATAATAATTGTATTTTAGAAGAATAGGGGAAAATAAAAATTAAAGTGAAGAAAGAATTCTTAAAATCATTTTTAATGAATAAAAAGTGAATTAGAAAGTGTGTGTGTGTGTGTGTGCGTGTGTGTGTGTGTGTGTGTGCATGTAAAACAAAGTGAGCAAAGGTGTCTATCTCTGCTTTCTTCTCACTCTTGTTTCAAATGAATCTCATGAATATTGATGACTACTGAAGATGACTTATTCTTTTCCGTCATCAGTATTTGTGAGAAAAGAAAGTCATTGAACTATATTCTTCATTCATTGTGTAAATGTGAACAACTTTTATGTTAATTTATCATGTTTTGCTGTCTATAAAATCAATTCTTAGTATTTTTTAATATTAAGAATGATTTTTTTTTAATTTGCATCATTAATATCTAACACACCATTGTCTAAAATCAAAATGAGAAATCTTAAGAATTTAATGAATTATAATTTTATAAACTCTGCTTACACTTTATGCTTTAAGATTTCTCTCTCTACACACACACACACACACACACACACACACACACACACATATATATATATATATATATATATATAAGGAAAATTGCATAACAGTAAAAATATATAGCTGAACTTCTGAATGCTGCCTTTGATTTTCATCCATTATTACCTCTGTCCCTTAATAGTTGTTTCATTTGTATACATATTTCATACACTAAATGTAGAAACTATTATGGACTGAGGTAGTATTTATGTATTGATCATCTTTCATGCATCAAATTACTTTTGGAAACTAAAACATGACACTTGCAAATTTGAACCATAAATTTATAAAAGACAAGACTCAGGTATAATCTTACATCTTAGCTTTAGTATATATGACAAAATACATTGCTGGTACTATTTTTTGAAAAACTATATATTGGACAGTGATTTGACTATACACAAATTTGGTTTAAGGAAAAACATCAACATACTTATTCTTAATTAACTTACAGTATTTTTATGAATATGACATATTTATTTCCTATTTTTCTAGCATTGAATTACTTCAACATTGTCCCAAATTATGAATGCTTATAAGGTTCTTTGTGTCCTTACAAAATCAAAGTTGACATTGAGATAATTAAACTCTGTACATATCTTGTGAGTAAATAATATATTCTAGTAGAAAATAAGATTTTAAATGAATTGACAAATGTTATACTAGAGTAGAACTTATAAGTTGGAACTGCAATGAGAAAAAAGAAAAGAATTAATAAGATATTTAGTGAACCTACAAAATAAAATATTCTAGAGTTGCATTTACATCATTTAAAAATCATATGATTTGGTGATGGTTAAAAAAAAATAATGAAAAAATATTTCCTAAAATAAGAATAGTTTCTTAACCTTCACTTGTTGACTCACCTTTATGAATGGTTGTATTTTGTTCAGCACTTGAGGGTTTTTTTTTAATCTTCATTGATTTTGAACTTATTAAGATCTACAATATGAACAGGGAAGACTGATAAATGTTGTAAGGAAATTGACCTATTTACATTTGTTGCCTTAATAGTTTAGAACAAAATACTTTTTTACCTGTTACCTGTGTCTACCCAAGAAAAGCTGTATCATAAAAAAATAAATTTTGCATTTACATATCTGGCTAAAAGTGTTAATCAAAAAAGAGTATAATTTTTGTAAGCATTTAGGGGACACATTAAATTGAATTAAACTTTTATTTTAATTATTGATTAAACTAAGATTTATTGCAAGAATTATTATCTTTACTATTAGATTATTATAATTATAATATCTTTTCCCACTAAATAAACAAGAGCATTACCACAACACATTTTTTAAGGTATAGAAACTGTATTTTCTAATATGATGGATTTTCTTTTTCATTTCTTTATTTTTCTCTCATTTTTCTTTGCTTGTTCTTCATAAATATATAAATCTTTTTGATCACATCTATGTTTTACACCTCATTATTTCTATTCTTATCCTAGAGTTTTTGTTTCTCCACAGTCCCTTGCTCATTCTTCCCTGTAGAGAAAAGAGTATAAAATATTTCCTTACTCCCTGATGAAAAGAATCTATTCAGATATACAAAATGTTTATGAAATCAATTTATACAAACACAACCTTTATAAATAAAGTGTCTTGTACTTTATGGATATTTACTGGAATTGCCTAAAACAAACTTTTATAACTAATCATTTGTTCTAATTAGAGAGGCTCTTAAGTAAAGTGATTTTTTTATTTCTGGATATTCTTATATTTTTATTAATTTTGTATTTCTTGTAATAAGTTTTCACTCTTTTTTTCTATTCATTTTACAGTGATTAAAATATAATATTGCCTTTGTTGTGCACTAAAAAAACTGACAAAGAAAGCTCATGGTTCAATCATTTTCTGGCAGTAGTACCAGTAGAATTTAATTTTGTAACTCATCAGATTAAATATGCAGACATTGTATAACTAACCATATTTATACGAGAAAGTAGACAATGAAAACATACTGCTAATTTTATTCATTTTATTGCAAAATTTATATGAATTATATTTAGTCTCATCTTTCTAATTGTTAAAATAATTTATTTTCTTATTTTAATTTACATTTAATACTGCAATCTTATCAGATTATAAAGTTGTTCTTTCAAATGCATTCATGATTCAAGATATAACTGTCCTTTAAATGCTTTTGTATAAATGTTATTTTTACAAAAAATGGCATCTCAAAATTGTAATGTTAGACATTTTTAAAGAAGTTAATATACATTAGAATTATTGCTAGATTGTTTTAATGAGTCATATTAAATGTAAATTTTAAGAATTAGTGTTTTTATTCATAGTTTTGATGGTTTTTAAATATATGACAGGGTATAAAATAAATTTCATATGGAATAGTATCCAACTAAATAATTTACATTTGTTAGATGATATTTTATTTTGTCTCTGTCCATATAATTCTAAGAATGGAAATAAAGTTATTAATTAAATCATTATCACAAAACTAACACTGCCTATCAAAGATTTGGATTTTGCACGTGTGGATTTTTAACTGTAATTACTATAACAAATAATTTCAGTAATGCATAAATTCTTGTCTTCAGAATTCACTTAGAGTAAGGTATATAGCTTATTACAGAGAACAATATTTATTATTCTTACTATTATTATTTTATTCTGAATTTTTATCCATTTTGTATTTTCCACAACTCTGAATGTATACACACTTTGATTGCTAAAGCAAATAGTGTGAAATTAAAAATGAAAAAGTTTTCTCTGAGATTTGAACTTTCCACACCTCAAATCTGATTGACTGTCATTTATTTATTTCCCTTTTCACATTTTTTGCTAATCATTTGAAGAGTATAGTGACCTGAGGTGTCAAAAGCAACAATAAGTTCAATTAAGTAATAAAATAATTATGGTAAAAATATTGCATGTAAAAAAAAAAATAAAGTTATTCTTGCTTCATTTTAGTTATATTTATATATTTTGCTTTATTTTGTAAATGTTATAGTCTCACAAAGATTTCTTCATTTTATTTTAAATAAGACTTTTTTTAATGTTTTAGGAAATTACATAGGATAGTGTCAGTTACCATTAAAATTAACTTTGAGTTGCAACAACTTGAACATTTTAAAGGTTTTAATATATGCTTCTTAAAAGATAGTTGTTAATCTAAGTTTTCCTCTTAGTCTCTCTGTTCAGTATATTATAGTTTGGTTATGAATATCTGCAGCTAACACTAATATACTGATTGAAATATGATGAAAAGAAAAAACTTGTGAAAACTTGTGCCTTTGCTCAAGTTTTTTTTTTATTTGAGTTGACTGGTTTCTTCACCAGTTTCTCATTTCACTGCCATCTGGTTTAATTTTCAAATTTCTTGGTGCATGATTAATAACTCAGGTTTTTTTTTTTATAATCAGCAAAAAGCAGAAATATAAATCTAGGCAGACATGTCTGATAGAAAACCATTAAAGCAGCAATCGTTTTGTAAATGGGAAATGAGAAGCCAGACATTTATTTGAGAAAAAGTTAAACATTTTTTGTTTAAGGTTGTTATTTAATAACTTTGATTATCTTAATTATTTCACAGTGTTTTAGCAAGTTCATTCAACAGCCTTCTTCAAGTGAATATATAGTTTTGTTGGTTTTGTCCTGTTTAAAAATATCTTTTGAAAATCTCTCATGTGAACTAGATCCAGTTATCATGGTTTTTTTGGGTTTTTTTCTGAGTTAATTCACTGTTATTCATGAGTAACCTGGAAAAGCAACTAGAGCTTACTCAAGATAAAAGAAAAATATCCTATTTGAAAATACTGGACTTAATTTTTTCATTGAAAGAGACTATTCTTGAGCCTCCAATCTGAAAGGTTGTAAAAAAGAAAAAATCCTTGAATATATGAATATATTTTCACTGATCAAAAACATTGTGAGCTTCCAACTTGAAGAGGAATATAAGTTTTAATTATGGAAGAGAATAATCTCATTTTCATGTGTATAATTAAAATTTTATGCAAATATATGGGTTTTTTTGGGTTTTTTTTTAAACTTAGATGAAGCATTACTATTATTTTATTACAAATCTTACTCCATTTTATTAGTGTTACTGTTTATCATAACATTCTGGATTGATACCCTTTTTAATCACTAGAGAAATAAAGTATCAGCTTCCAACAAGATCTGAATTCATATTCCACACCTTGTAACTTCTTTTTATTATTTTGACCCATTTGGCCATATAATGATTTAACAAAGATATAGTCATTCTACTTTTCCCTCCTTTCTTATTTTCTTTGCTGCTATCTTTGTTTTCACTACTTTGTAATAATCATTTTTTTATGTTTTTCAACAAAGAATTTTCAGTTATTATTTTATTACAACTTTTGCTCTATTTTATTACATAGTAATTAAAACAAAAAATGACAGAATTGGAAAGGCGTGGGTGGCATAATGGTTACAAATGTGTGTCTATAAAAGAGGATTTCCTTCAGTGTAAGTGAGTTCAAATCATGTCAGAAACTCTACCCCCCCCCATTCCTGTTTACTCTAGCAGCCAAGGTGCATTGTGAGTGTTGTGATAAAAAGTAACAGTTACAGGAGTATAGTTAGTAATAATAATAATAATAAATATATCACCTGTTTTTTCTTTTCATGTTTATGTATATATAAATGCTTATAATATTATAATATTTAATAGGAATAGGGCAACTATTGAATAAACTATATACAATTTTATAAGAAACAAAAGTGATGAGGGTTTATTTGCATTGTAGCTTGAAAATAATTGCATTCAAATAATACAATCGTGATGTCATTTTGATATGAATTTTTTATAAGATTCAGTAAGATTTTTTAATAAATTTACTCATACTTGATACTATTTTTGAAATGTCTATATAACAGCACAAACTAGTGAGAAAAACATTGATTGTTGCAATTTGATCCTTAGCATTATAAAGATCAAGTCATAAAAAAGTTTTCAAAAACATACTTCTTCTATATTCTATTGACATCAAATTTTGGCAAAGTTTAACCATGATAACTGAAAAAAATGTGTTAAAAAAATAGTGTCAAAAACGGTTTTTCTCTTGACACCACTATTATTATTATATATTCCCTCAACTGTCTCAGCAATGTTTATTGTTTTAAAAAGCTATATTTACAATTTTAAAACCCAAACATAAAAGTGAATTTAAACATTTCCTTTGTTCTTGAGAATTAAAAACAGAAATAGTAAACACTATTAGATTGTTTATTTACAAGAATAATTTTATATTAAAAAATATGTGAACTAACTACAATACAATGTTTATCATTTACCATTTTATAAAGAAATAAATATGAAAATATTTTTATTCATAAAATTATAAAAATATGTGGACCAAGTATAATGAAATATTTATTCTGCAAACAAGAAAATTCAAATAAACACAAGAGTAACTGAAATTATAAATTTTTGAAAAAACGAATTTTCCAGGCATTTCTTTCATTTGCTCTTGCCACATAAATTCACTAAAATAGGTTTAGGGCATCTCTTCCTTTAATCAAATATTTTTTTAATTTTAGATTTTAGGCAAGACAATAGACACTCAAAATACTGAGTGTTGTTTCATCTAAACTCTAATATTCTTCATCAGTCATGACATGACTGACAATAGATAATCTATCTGCAGTTTTTCTAGGCGTCCTTCACACAAATTAAAAAAAATTGCAACAATTTAAAAAATTCTTTAAGAAAGTGTAGTAAGAAGTTTAATTACTGGAGTTTCAGGCTTTAGATTTCTATTAATCAGATTTCCTTAATCCTTGATCACGATTATAAAAAAACTGAAAAATTGAAACAAAATAATCTGAGAAGAAAATGTATAATAATGTTCAATAATCATGTTTATTTAAATTTTCTTGTTTTGTAAATCAGACATTTTTATAAATTTACAAATTAAAAAAAATTGTTTTCATAGTTATTTATTTATAAAAAAATATATATTTATTTATAAAATGATAAATATTGCATTGTAGTTGGTTCACATATTTTTATAATCTTGTAAATAAACAATCTAATAACTCAATAGTGCATAACATTTTTTTTTTGTTATTAAAATTCAAAAGATAACTTTTTAAAACAATAAACATTGTTGAAGGAGCCAAGTGAGTATACAGTAATAGTGGTGTCAAGAAAAAAACTCTTTTTTTACAAACCATTTTTTGCAGGTACATTTACATGTTAAACTTTTCCCAAAATTTAATTCCTAGATTTACTTGTTAATTCTTCAGTATTCAATTAAAATTTGTTTTATTTAGATTAGTTTATTGACTTTAATAATAGAATTTTATTCCATTTCAAATAGGGCAAACATTAAGCAATGGAAATGCATGTACTTAAACACTTTATCATGATTTACATATCAATTACATTATCTGTGCATGCTAATGAGAACAGTATTATTATTCTGCTCTATATTTGTTTTAAAAGTAGAAATAGACAAGTTGAAATGTATAAAGGAAAACAACATTTCTGAATATTAAACAAGATCTTATCCGATTGTTTTTATATCTAAAATAATAGTG